TTTGGAGGGGCAGACGTCACTCTAGGGTGCAGGCAAAAGCCATGCAGCAGGAAGCAGGAGGGAGCTGGGTCGAGGACGTGCAAGGCTCAGGCATTTGGGGCTCGCTGTCTCTCTGCTGACTCTGCACAGGGGCTCCTCGGACCCCACTCAGGCTTAGGATGGGCATGTGGATGGCTCTTGGGCCACCCTTCTCCTTGCACGAGGCAGAGGTTACTGTGCACATAGGGGTGAGCTTTCGGCTATGACCATGCCAGATGCACAGTTGTGTATCTGCTGGCTCTGGCGCAAGTGCTCTTGCGTGTCCTTATCTCTCTCATGTGTTGCTCAGCTCTTTTATTGCTGATATCCGGCTTGGGATCAGGCCAGGCAATCTCCATGGAGTCGTGACTCAGCCAAACGGGTTGCTCAGCCCGTGGCTGGGGTGGATGGCGAGAGGCTCTGCTCAGCCTTGCCCTGTCCCGGAGCAGCCCGCTTTCCTCGCTGGGGGAGCCATGCCTCGTGGGGCTGCAGACTGGAGCCCGCCCTGCCCCTGCTGAGGCAGGACTCGGTGGCACCTTGTCCCCTGGGCTCTGTTTGCCTCCCTGCCAACCACAGCAACTTGCACCATGCTGTTGTTTCTGCATCCACAGGAGCTTATGGGTGGGCTGCAGATCCTGTAGCATTTCCAGCTCTCCAGCCACCCCCGTAATGACTCTTTCCTGCCTCCCTCCAGCCCCTGCTCGTGCATTTGCCAAGGTCGGCTGCTGTGGCTAGCTGCAGAGCTGCTATGGTTGCAGCCTCCCCGGCACCCGGGTCTGTGCTAGCTCATCCCTGTGCACATGGACGGGTAACGTGCTTCCCAACTCCGCCACAGTCTTGCACTCGCCAGGTTCCCCCCTTTTGGGGAATATCTGGATTTCCAATTATCCCCACTCCCTGCCTGAGCTCCTTGGGTCCTTCCCAAACCCTGTCCTTCACTGCGCTGTGTGCAGGGGGATGCATTTTGCAGACAGAGTCAGGATGCGGTTACATTCCCTGTCAGATCTTGTCGGAACGGAGGCTACAGCGAGGTCCTCTGCAGCCACACAGCTTTCCCTGGTCTGCTCCCTGTGCCACTACTCTGGCTTACCATCCAGGCTGCAAGTGCACATGGACTTCTGAGTCAGAGCAAAGGAAGCAGCAGAGAAATGCAGAGCTGGCTGGTAGTGCGGCTTGCAAATCCCTGGGGGCCACTTCTCATTGCTGGCTGTTGTCCTTCTGCCATGCCAAAACAGCCCAGGAAATCCATCTCTGCTTCCTAGGTGAGCACTGGAATGAGTGGGGGGAGCCCTCCGGCAGGCCCCCAGGATGGGAGCTTTGCAATAACCCTGCATGCCTTTGCCGAGGAGAGCAGGGCTCTTTTTTCTCTCATTTGGAGCGGTCTGCGCTGAGCCGTGCAGGAGGGAGCCCTCCAAGCCTTGCCTTTGAGGAGGGAGCATTTCCCCTTTCTCAGCCCGGGGGTAATTGTAATCGGAGTGACTCCACCCTGGAGGCCTTGACCTCCTTGCTTTGATGCTTTGTGGGCATCCTCACCAGCCAGGGCCTGGAAAAAAAAAAAAGAAAAAGAAAAAAAGGGAGAAAAGCCTAGGAGGAGGGAGGCGGGGGATTCAAAATTAGCGGCAAAGCTTGGAGCACTTTCACTGCACAGTGGTGCTCTGGGATCAGCCTGGGGTCACGGCAGTGGAAAGGAGACCAGCCAGGGCAGCACTGTGTCCTGCACTGTGTCCATCACTTAGTGGGAGGAAGGGTCTCGGATGTCTCCTTTGGCTGGATCTTGCAGGGACACCTGTGCCCCAAGGTGGAGAGGGTCTTCAGCGGCTGATGACTTTTGGGGTGAAACTCCTCATTGGGAAATGCAAGTCTTTGCAATGTAACTCCCAAGAAGAGCAGGCGGCTCCATCCCTGACTGCAGTGCCGCTTGAGGGGGCCCTGGGGCGGCAGCCCTGCACCCGAGGCCGAGCCATGTGTGCGGCGTGCTGCTTTCCCGGAGCGTGGTTCTGCCATGACGCACAGAGCGGGTGGAAAACAAACGGCTCCAAGGGCTGTGCAGCGCTGGGAAAAGCCGCTGGAATACCGATAAATGTCACGTCGAGGAGGCGGGTTACAAAGGCCGGCTCTGTCGCGGCCGCCATGACTCAGGCAAGAGGCCGGTGGCAGGCACATGCAGAAGAGCCTCCCGTCACTCGGCTGGTTTTCCTGCTCCCCGGCTCGCCGTGGCCTTTTGTTTTTCTGCCCGGCCGCTTGCCAAATATTGTCCTTTGTCTGCTCGTCCCTCACTGCTCCCCCTGGGCCCCAGCCCGAGGCTCCTGCTGCTCCGTTTCCCCTGCTTCCCCCCTGCTCCAGCAGCAGCAGCAGGTTTTTGGGGGGGACCCAACAGTCCCAGCTTGTAGGTCACCTCCTTGGCCAGCACCGTGAGACACCCGGGTCTGCTGTTGCCATTGGAGCTGATGGGGGCTGCACTTCCCATGCGGAGCAGCCCCCAGATGAGGCACCTCTGCCCAGGGCACCGCAGCCCCTGGGCCACCAGCCCCGGGAAGCGGCACGGAAGGAAAAGACAGGAGCCAGGAGCAGGGAGGGAGGAAAGCGGGACCCTGTGGAAGCCATGCCGGGCACTGACATGCAGAGACAAAAATGCAGAAACTTTGTCAGAGCCTGGAGCCTGCGGCACTGCAAGGGCTTTCTGGAAGGAGCTTGGGAAACTTGGGAGCCGAGTGGCTGGGAGAGCTCCACTGCTTTCTGTGCGGTCGGCTTTGGAAAGAGCAGCCTCCCTGGCAGCATCCCCCCCTTCCCTGCAGCGGGTAGTGTTTGTTTGCTTGGGAAAGATGAGCCTCATTATCTGTCCCTCGTGGTCGTGGCTCTAAAACTTTAAAGCACAGTGGGAGGACATTTTATTAGCATGGGAAACTGCTCTGGTGTCAGTGAGACCAGAGCAAGGCTTTGTTTTGCACGGAGGTCTCCTTGCCTGGGACAGCCGTCTCCGTGCCAGCGGGACCAGAGACCCACGTGCGTGGAGTGGTGAGGAGGGCAGGCGAGTTAAACGCCACCCCGTTCTGCCCTCTATCCCCCAAAACTCGCAGTGCTGGAGCGCGGTGGGTCCCAGGTGATTTCCCGTGCGGGAGGCGCCAAGCAGAGCCAGGTGAGGCAGCGAGGAGGAACCCGGGGGTGCAACTCGCCTCCATCGTGGCCGCTTCCCGCTCGCAGCGATGGTATCTCTGCTCTCCTCGAAACGGCAGCCCACCTAATCGCGTGGGGAGGGCCAGGGCAGCCCTGCTGTGATTTATACCTGGGGAGACTCTGGGTCCCCAGCTGGGCTGATAAGGATGGGAAAGGGCACTGCTGCCCTACCCCAAAGCAATAACTCTGCCCTGCAGCCTCTGGTGCTCTGCAAGAGAGTTTGCCCTGTCTGTCCATACCACACCAAGCCCATTAAATGCCAGATCACTGTGCAGACACCACTATCAAATTATTTTTAATTTTTCCAAGCACCATCCTTGCCCCAGGACCGTCCTCCTGGTAGCTACAGGTCCACAGCTGCTGCAGCTGCTCCCATGACCCATCATCCCTTCAGAAAACCGCACATGAAATGGCCATGCAACAAATCTGAGCCTCCGTGTATCTTTGTGCAGTTTAGGCACTCGAGTAATACCCAGCAGCATCTACCTGGCAGAGAGGAAGCCAACTGCAGAAGAAGGCAGGAGAAATAATTCACTTTTCCAACAGAGAATGTGCAAGTTTAACAGTTCTGTCCCTATAAAAGCATCCCATGCCCAAATCAAAGGCAGCTTTGGTGCTATATATCACCTCTAGTCAGGGCTTGGGCCCAGGAGCATTTGGCTCCACTGCCCAAGGCACCATGTAAAGGCATGTAGTTAAAAGACATATAGCACGTTCATCTCCATGAGTAGCTGCATGCCGTGGTTCATTCTGCTAGAGCCGAGCCGCTGCTTAGACTAAACACTGCCTCCGCCATCCGTGAATCACTCCCTAGATCCGCTGGAAGTTTCCAGGGCTTGAATTTCAGAAAGTCGCTGCCGCAGGGCACTAAAGCGCTGCGCGAGACAAAGCAAGGTGTGGCGCTTTCGGAGGATTACCTTGCCTGCCGTGGGCCTGCAGGAGCTGGAGGGAGATGAAAGCTGGGGCGAGGAGGGGAGGGAATGAAAGCGGGAGGGAGCACAGGCTCCGCAGCATTTGCCTGCATGGAGAGGTAAGGCGAGGTGTGTTAACCGCAGGGGCTCTGCACCCCATTGCCCCGGTGAGGGCTGGTGGTGCCCATGGTCTCCTAGGGCTCATGCTCTCCTAGGACCCATGGTCTCCCAGGCTCTGCTGTTCTGGTGAAGAGAGGAAAGGTGGTGGGAAAGGCTCCGGGGCTTCCCAAGGCCTCTGCGCACACAGAGGAGGAGGACATGGGTTGCTCCTTCAAAGGCCGGGCTGGTCCAAGAGGGCTCCCCAGGCGCAGCATCCTTCCCTGCTGGGCAGAACCGGGCCAGCCGGCGCCTCCGGGGACGGAGCCACTCGCTCACTCCAGACCAGGACTGATCTGAGCGCCCAAACCCGCTGCCCTCGGATCTTCAGCAGAGCAGGGCTCGGACCACGGCGGCGAACGGGCTCCGCAGGGGGAGGGACGGGGCGAGCGGCGCCCCGGTACCC